CTATAGCTTCATTATGTTCTTGTCTTAACTCAAGAATCTCTAATCTCTTTATATTTGATAATAATCATTATAGTTCTTATCTTATACTTATCTTTCATTTGTTTATCTTTTTTTTTTAAGCATTACAAAAGTGTGTTGTTTCTTTAGAATTTTATTATGATTCATGTCGTTGACACACTATTCTTAAGAAATTCAATGTTGCAAGAATAAAGACATAATTAATAATAATCTTTTAAATAGCATTCAAAGACTATATATCTACAATCTAATGACAACAAAGGTTTTTTTCAACCTTGTTGCAAAAGCTTTAATGGGACATAAATAATTCACTAATAATAACTTAATGGCAAGCATTGCAAGTAGAGATGTTGAAGATAAGGATGAAGAGTTAGAAGTTGAGCTTGATCACAAGGTGCTAATAAAAAAAATAAAAAAAATTATCCACTATGTTGTGATTATATATATATATATATATATATATATATATATATTAAATACATCAGTTTTATGCATGATCAAATAAAATATTTTTTATTTGAATTTTTTTCCTTGATCATAAAATATGAACATAACTACTGAATTTAAATATTTTATTTTAATAAAGTATGAATATTCTTTTGCACACTTCATAGGTATCTGATATACAAGCATTTTTTGTTTATATAAGAATTATTAACCATAAAATAAATAAATACATAAACAAAATTAGTTCTTTTTATAATTATTATAACAATTCTATTGTAAAAGCAAAACTATGTTAATCTGAGTATATGTTATTTTTATTTTTTAAAAAAAGAAGTATCAAATTCATATATTTTAAGTATAAATTTTTAAATTTTATTAATTTTATCTTTTTAATAAGTCAAAAATTTAAAAGATAATCCTCAATCTATTAAATTAAAATATTATTAATACATTTCAATCATAAAAAATCATTAATAAATTTTAAATTTTAGATTTATATTATAATAAAAAAGATAACCTTTCAGTTACTAAGAATTCAAATTAAAAAATATTAGGTTTCTTATTTATAATTTAACAACTAAATAAAACTAATTTTTTTGTATTATTAATTTGATATTGTTATATAAATATATTTATAATCTTAAAAAATAATAAAGATTATAATTTTTTCATTCAATTTTTTAAAAATTACAAAAAAAATTTGGGCAATATATATATATATATATATATATATATATATATATATATATATTAATAATTTTTTTTTTCAAATTATAATCTTTATTTTTTTGAGTGCTTAAGTTAGTAAAATAGATTTTTTATACATATGATTCGTTTTTTTCTATTAATGAGCTTAATATTTGAACTCAAAATGAAGAATGTATAATAACATTTCTTAAGAAAAAGTCATTTATTAACAAAATATCTTCTTTCTTTAATAGTATGTGCCTCCTACTAAAATGAATAATAGTAAGTAATATGATGGTCATAGGATTGTAATATAATGCATAATTAGTAGAGGTCAATAGTAATAGATACAATACAAGATTTTGTAAAAAAAGATATTTTTTATATTGCTATTTAGAAAAATGTGATTAGTATTTTTATAATCTCTAAGAAGTTGTTCATCATTTTAAAGCTATTATATGGAATGATTTGATTTTTAATAAAAAAAAATAAACAAATTATATATACTTTTAATAAGTAATATAACCATGATAATTGCAAAAATATTTGTGACAATGATAAATAATATAATTGAATGTTTTTTATGAAACAAATCTGGCTTATTAAATCATGCTACTATTTGAGTGTCTACAAAATATTTTCTAACTTATAGTTAGCAATTGCTTTATAATTAAATCCATAGTTTTAATTTATACAGATTTTTAAATTAATCTTATATTTAATTTCACTTGAAATCATTAATTAATTTCAATGATTATAAATATTCTTTAAATTAAGTTTTTATTCTATATCAATCTCTATTTAATACAACATCTTTTAATATTCATTTGTATTGTGAATTCATGCAATAGAATCTAATATGTATATTAATTCTTGATTTAATCTAATTTCTTTTTAGATCTTATATTTAATTAGTTCTATTATAAAGGTTTATTAGTTTAATAGAGTGAGATTTCTTATAAGCACCAAATTAAGTTCTAAAGTACTACATTTTACACACACAAAAATAAATAAATAAATAAATAGAGACTAGATTTAAATTATGATTAAAATGGTTATTCATGGTTTATTTTGCTCTTGTAGCAAGTTATTGGCTTGTAATGTATATTAATTATAATCGGCTACTTTTATGCAATCAACTATCAAATGAATTTCTCAACTACAAATGTTTTTTAGTCTTGTTATAATCTATCATGTTATGTTAAGTTTGTTTTTGTATGTTGGTAATCAATTCCACAATTTACATATTGTGCATGTTTCTAGAGTGACATTAAATGTAAAGAAGAAAAACAAAATTATTCTCATGATTGTTTTAGCTAATTTATAATAGATTCAAAAGATAGTTGCTAGCTTGTTGTTAAGCACAAAATTCGAGATTATTCAACCTTTTTTTTTTTTTTTTTCTCATTTAAAAAATAAAAACAAAGGTAACTAACTGATTGTTATAGGAAAGCACTAGTTCTATCTATACCAATTCTTATAGTATTATACGTGGTGTAATTGTGACCATACCTTTTTACAACCATCTAATCTAATTTATTATTTTACTATACTAGTACTTAATCAAACAAAAATTAACTACCTAATTTTTACTTCCTGAAAATCATGATGAATACCTTTCTTCTTTTTTTTGTTTTTTTTTGGTGACAACTTTGTAACTTAGTCCAAATTAAATGAAATTCATAAATCTGTAAAAGCATGGCGTGGAGTTCACAAGTATGAAAAAGTAAGTAATTAAGCAATGAGATATCAATCATATAATAATAATATAGGGATGCCGTACATGCACACAACATTTCATTCATACTACACACTTCCTGCACACTTCACTTTAGGTTTAGGGTTTGTTCCTTTGCACTGACGATTGCCTAAAGTAAAGCTGGATATCTGGATCTAGGTAAGTGTTGCCTCCGCCTCACTCTGCGGACACAGATTTCTAACTGAAGGATCATGTTTCGACATTGCCCAGCTTCGTCATATGCCTCCTTGAAGTTCATCATAAGTTGATCTTCTGTCTAAAAAAGAAAAAATATTCTCGTACTCAACTTTTTATCTGCGCCACATCGTTGCTCTTTAATTTCTCTTCCAAAGAAACCATCTGCGGTCCTTTGTCCAGCCGTGCAGTCGGACGTTTTAGGGCTGTCAAGGTCTAGAGAGCTCAAAATTAGAGAATATGTCAAGCCCGCTTCGACCCTCTTCAACTTCTCCGTTATACATTCAACTTGTTCCAAAACATACAGATTCGCTTTTCCGTGGAAAGCTTAGCACACTGTAATTACAATGCAGCCACACGCTTGGTGTCTTCCTCCAAATTTGCCTTGCCTTGACGCGCTTCACCTTGTGCCTTACACAATTCTTACATTAGAGCATTCGGAGATGATGTCACCACCATCGCCAACAAACGGAATACTACATGAAGTCAAGGGTATACGTCAATCTTCACAGAAACAAATGAACCCCAGGTTTCGAATCTCGAAGACTATGTGACCGGCCAAAGCAGAAGGCCAAGTCCAATGAGCAGGCATTCACTTTCAGTGGGACATTCTTTGAGGGACAAGCGCAAGCAGAGCCGAATCCACTGCTTAGCTAGCACAATTGAATCCTCTAAGAGATTGAAAGGGGAATTGTTGATCTGCAATGAAGGAGATCAAACGCAACCTCTTCTCTCGAAGGTGGTTTCCACTATGGCTCTCTCTCTCTCTCTCTCTCTCTCTCTCTGCACGGCGATGTACAGCAGCCATGGTAGATTTCAGGAAGTCGAGCTCACTCTTCAATGAAAGGTCATTAAGAGATCTCTAAATACATCGTCGTCGATTCTTCCAACGTTAAGAGCCTAAGAGATTCTGCTCCCCAACAATCCAAACTAAAAAAGTAGGAAAAACAAAAAAAAACAAAAAAAAAAAAAAAAAAAAAAAAAAAAAACTTCATCCTTTCATGGTCCACTCAGAAGTCCATCTCTCAAGTGTGTTCTTCACCTGGATCCCTGTAGTTTTCGGCTTAACAAACACCTCCAATCCAGGGGAGCAACCTTGTCGGAATCTCGCTTTTTCTCCACAAACTGGGCCGCAAGGGAAAATCACTCTGTAGAATGATCTGAATCACAATGTGCAAAAAGAATTCTATACTCTTCATTTTACTCAGTTCGATATGCCAATCACTCTTTAAGCCATCCTTCACTTCTATCTAAACCTGCAAGCAGGGAAAAGTTTGGGCAGCCTTAAAGCCCTTGTAACAGCAGCTTATACTAACTTTGAATGCTTAGTCCATGTGTTTTTTGGTGTTCATTTTCATTTCTAAAGTTGTGAACTTTTTATGATTTTGTAAGGTTTTCTTGAAGGTTTTTTTTTAAAAAAGTAACTTCTTCTCTCTTCTACTGTTCACTGGTAATCTTCTGCGATCTTCGATTTGCTTCTCCAATTGTTACTATTCAGTTAATTAAATTTTTTACATCTTCCACCCTTCTAACCTTCTTTTATTTTTATTTTGTTCACTTGTGCAAGTCTGGACATAAATATGAAAATTTCCTAAATTGATTTAATTCTACATTGAACCACTAAAATAAATTTTAACCTATTAGTCAACAATTTTGACTCTTGGATAAATAAAAACGTGCTCCTAAAATTCCACCTAAGCACCATTCTTTTACAAGGAAACTTCTTGCGGAGATGACTCTACCCTGATATCAATGTTGGAATGCAATGAAATAAGATAAAACTTTGGGTATAGGTAATATAGCTAACTTTTTCATTATTTAATACCATTAGATTTCCTAGGATGCACGGGTGGAAAAGGTGATTTTTAAGCAAGTTGGCAAAAGCACGTAGTCTATCACAAAAACTTTGTCTGGATGCCATAATAACCTTCATGGAGCCCATTAGAAGACGTGCAAAAACTGGACAAAAGGGGAAAAGAGATATGCTGAATGATCATGCTCTTTTGGTAACTCCTAGTACCGAGTAGAAGGGTCCAAATCTAGAACCTGACTAATCACCAGAACTACCACCTCCCATACTCCTTAATTACACAAACGTTTTTGCTAGAAAAGCGATAATGATTATATATGGTTACTGACATAAATAAATTCAAACTAAATTCGAGAATCCTAGCTGACGTCCATCCAATTGTGCATGGTTGTTTTACACCACTGAGATGTTCTCGCAGTGGAAATTCCTGATAACTATGAGCATCAAATATCTGCATTACATGCAAAAGAGATATGGTGTACTTGCAATCCATAACCCCTTTTCAACTCAAGCTCCACTAATGATACAGGACAAGCACACTGAAGTTGTAGCATGGCTGCAAAAAATTATCCACCCTGGAGGAGAAACGAACTTACACCGTCTCAACCTGAAGAGTGAGATCAGTAACTCCTGCTTTTTTCAAAATACCAGCAATTGAAATACGTAAACGCTCTCTATCAGCTCCTCTGGTAGCCAGGACGTGAAGACTGCCAATAACCTCGGCGTTGGTGAAATTCCAAATATGTAAGGCTTTACAACTCCACACACCGTCAATACCTTCCACCTGTTTCATGGAGCGCTGAATGCGACTCTCAGTTGCTCTTGGCATTCGCTGCAGAAGCATCTCAGCTGAACCCTTGATTAAAGGAATCACTGACGCGATGATGAGTGCTGAGATGAAAATGGAACAGATTGGATCCGCAAAGTACCAGCCTTTGTACTGAATAAGTAATGAAGAAACCACAACCCCGATGCTACCTAATGTGTCTGCCAAAATGTGCAAAAACATTCCTTGCATATTGTGATCTGTGTGATCATGTGCAACATCGTCATCAGAATGATGATCTTCGTGAACGTGAACGTGATTGTGCTCATGCCCATGCCCGTGATCGTGATGATGTCCATCATCGTGCTTGTGCTTGTGCTTGTGCTCATGCCCATGCCCGTGATCGTGATGATGTCCATCATCGTGCTTGTGCTTGTGCTCATGCCCATAGTGATCGTGATCATGCCCGTGCTCATGACTGCAAGAGCTGCCATGTTTGTGATGAACATCTTCATGTTGGTGTCTGTGATGAACGTCATGGTTATGAGCATGATCAAAACCTGCACCCTGTTCCTGTGCCCTATGTAAATGTGCTAGATCACCGCACCCATGGTAACTCGTATCATAATGAATTCCCACCGAAATACATTGATGATTCTGTTCAGCATGATGATCATGATCCTCCATATTAAGAACTTGGTAATCTCCACCTTTCGCTCTGAAAGCCTTCTCATGTAATGATTTTCCTTTCTTGGCGTGAGAATGCCCACACGAGCTGCCCGTTGGATGATGGTGATGTGCTTCGTGAAAGAATATCAAGCCTATGACGTTCACAAGGAATCCCCCTATCGACACTACCAACAAGCTGTCTGTTGAAATCTCAGGTGGGTCGAGTATCCTTTCCAGTGATTCCAAGACAATAAGAGAAGCCACCAAAACGAGGAAAACTGCGTTCATGTAGCCGGAAATTACTTCAAATCTGCCGTATCCATAGTTAAACCTAGAGTTGGCTTGAAGCTTGGAGATATAGGAAGCATACAGACCAATAGCCAATGCCGCACAGTCGAAGAGCATATGACAGGCGTCAGATACGAGTCCCAAACTGTTGCTGTGGAACCCATACACAAACTCCACGACCATGAAAATGATGCTCAATAGGAGAAACATAGAGATTCTCCGAGTTTTGGAGTCGGATATGATGAATTGCAGGGGAGATTTTATCAAGGCGGCCAAGTTTGGCGCTTTCGTCACATAAGGAGATAATTGTTTACCACGGATGACATTCCGAAACAAAGCTCCCACAGTACCTGGTCCTTTCGACTTCGATGCAGGGCGAGGCGTGCGAACCGCTCGCTGTGCCATGGTGAAGTTCGAATGCCCTGTCCTGATCAGTCACCTTAAAAGTGAGCAGGAGATATTGCCACCTTCACCAAAAGTTTAATTTTGCCTACACCACGCATTCACCAACACGTTCAATTGGTTAAGAGCAGAACATTGATATTACTCCCATTCTTAAATTCTACTCATAAACTCTGTCGAATTATCAAACACTCCAACAAAGAATTAACCAGCAGAGTACATTATTTAGTCTTCATATAACAACTCTACAAAATCAATACGAATACTCTGAATACGAATATGACGCTCAAGAAGGAATCTGATCCACTCGCTCGGTTCTAGCCCGACTCAACACTGAGCGCGGATTGCTTGGAAGCAAAAATTTGCTAAAGACGTTAATTTTAGGTTTTGTTCCAATGGCACTTCTTGAGATACATAGAATTAGCTATCGAACTCGTAGAATGCTGTTCCTTCGACAAAGGCCCTTCCCTGAGCACAATTGCAGACATTCCCCAGATACACTCTCCAGAGATAAAAAGCAAAAAGACGATTGCGTAGCAACAGACACGGAAGTTCAACAGTGTGCTTCGCATCTCACACTCATTTCAAAGTTCACTCACACAACAATTCACTTAACTGGATCAAGTTTCAGGATCCTGAAAACGCCTTCTCCATTGTAGGATCGCACACGAATGACCTACGACAAAATTCAGAGGTTGTTTCAACGCCTAAGTAAATAATTCAAACAGAATTCAAACCTGCGATGATCTGATGCCTCCTTTCTCCCACTCTCAGTGCTCCACTGCTCCCCCCCGGTCCCCTGCACCGACATCTACCCTATTCTACACAGCATCTGTCTATAGCATCGCCGAGGCTCCCGCCTCCGTTCAAACCCGTCATCCTCGCAAGCCCTTCATCCCCCCCCCCCCCCCACACCATGTGTAACTCCGGTTCACCTGATATACTCATCAACTCCCAAACCTGCTGAGCAAATACGAATAAAAATACCGATAGTTAAATCCTCTG